TCCTGATAGATGAATTTTTACTTAAATGTAACTGCTCAGAAGTAAGTGGACACTTTTCTCTCTCTAATAGAAGTTTCAATACATCTCAATTATACTTTGTTTCCTCATTGTTCAACTACATGAGTTATGGGTCTCCATCTTTGATAGTCTTCTTACAAGATGCATAATGTCAGCCAAATAAAAATTATTTTTAATTAAACTTTATTTTTGTGGTGATGAAGCATATTGATGCATATTAATTCTTTCTCATTTCGAATTAAATTATTACTTCAGAAAATCAATATAAAGGCGTATATGCTATGTAAAGTTACCATGGAATAAGACAAATTTTGATAATAGAGATGATATACTTTAATCTATTCAGAGTTAGCATAGAATAAGACAATAGGCCGGCTAATCCAGATAAAATACTACTTTAAGGCAGACAGTTAGACATGTTTAATCAATACAAGATTTCTCGAGAAGCCAAAATAAATCAATACAATTTTATTGTGATATAATTGGCATTACTAACAGTTTTACTGATATTTGTTAAACTAGCAAATGCTGATAGCTCTTGTTATATTAAAGCCATAGAAGAATTTGACTGGCTTAAGTCAAACTCGTCATCGTACAAGCAACATGGGAACATTCGGAATAGTATAAATAGAAGGAGGCTACAGACTAACATTAGAATATAAAGAAGGTTCAATTCCGTGAGCTCAGCTTAAGCAGATTCCTCTAATCGAGCCTTTATCTACCAACTAATTAATTGGTCAGAAGCCAAATTCTTGAAGAAGCAACTGTGAATTTACTGGCCCATCAGTCAAGATTTATTTATTTATTTCAAATGGCAGGCGTTTTGATAGTCAGCATTAGCCCTTTAGCGGACTTCGGGCCTTACAGAGTTTGAAGTGAGAAGTCAACTACCGATTTATAGACCATTTCGCTGTATGACTATAGGTTGTCCAGGGTGTGCCTCGTGGACGTAGATCTATCGCACTCCCCATGCCTGTGCGACCGGGAATTAAACCCGGGTCTTCCACGTGACACGCGGAGATACTTACCACTATACTATCTCTGACCATCAGTCAATAATATTCTCGTCAAAAACTAGGAGTATTGTGCTATGTAAAAAGAAATTTAATTTTTTTAAAGTAAATGGTCGATTATTAAGAGAGAATGATTCCTAATAATTGAATTTTAATTACATTTGTTTCGGACCTTTGTGTAATTCAATTCGTGATTTAATATATGTAAACATTGTGTGATTGACAAATTATAAAATTGATATTAACTGCTTTTCAACTTTGATTGATAAGTGACCTTGATATGGAAAATAGATGTCATGTTCACATGGTAAAAGCAAACAAATTTTGAATTGGATATGCTATTTTTACTATATTAAATTCGTTAAAAATACCGCTCACTGTTAGAAATTGTCATTTCTTTCATATAGGTAACATAAGTGCTCATCGCAAGATTTAGTTTTCCTGACGTGATATGACATTACTGCAACCTACTTTTATTTTTTGTTACAATTATAAATGCACTGTATGTAAGGCAATACCAGACAATGAACATTAATTATACTGCAGGAACCTCATCACTCTGTAGTTTAATTCGTAATGGTTGTAGTTTAAATCGAAGGAGCGACAATTGGCTACCATATTTAGTAGCTGTAGCACTAATAAAAGCAGATGAATTAAATGTCTATTAGTGGAATATAGGCAAAGCAGAAACAAAGTAGTTTCGCCCGACTGACTTCCAATTTTAACAACCTCGCCTCAGCCCTCTTTAAGAGGCTCACTGCTTGTTCAACGCACATAATTAAATGCAAAAATTAAATTCAATGACGATAGATTGTCAGACATTTCTTTGCTTGGTCACGGGTCAAAATTAAATTGCTTCATGGTAGTTTAACATGTTTTTACGTAATTTTTACCGTCTACGGCTTAGTAGGGCTTTCCAGTAAAATAAATTACCCATTATTTTGTATTCAAACAAAATGGAAAAATGCGCTTATTTGAAGAGGGAAAGTAAAACATACCCTGAAGTTGTTGTCGATAAGTTCATTTTGTGCTCCAAATTTTGTCAAATGTCTCCCTCATCAAAATGCTCTCTCTCTTCTGTTTCATTTGACAAAACTGTCAATAAACCAGTTGAATTACTTAGCAACTCCTCAATTTAATCAACGCACAAAGTCATTGTTTCTGCGTTGAAAAATATTTTTTTTAATTTTTCAATACGTCGATTTTACGTTTATTGGGCATTGTGTTTTTCGAAGGTAATTGACAAAATGGAGCCTCTTTAAATTAAATCCACATCTTATGCACAATCATTAAGCCTACGGATTTATGGTACCAAAGTCAATAATCTTTGAAACTGAAATGCCTGTGACGCATGAGTAGAAACGCAATATGAATATCGAATATATTTTTTTTGAAATTGCCCAGAATAGGAGCTTCTTTAGTTAACAGTATTTCTGCGGCCAAAGCCAATAAACATTTATTTATTTCGAATGGCAGACATTTAAATAGTTATCATTAGCCCATAGCTGACTTCGAACTTCACAGAGGGGGGGGGGAACATCAAAGTTCTAGAGGGTGGACTGAATTGTGATCTTCAGATGTAAGAGACAGACAGAATGATGGAGAGTAGGGTAAAGTGAATACTGTAGAAGTGGTCGACTATGCCATACAGTGAGGTCATAGAAGTTTGAAGTCAAAAGTCAATTGCCAAATAATAGACTTAATTTGCCGTATGAGTATACGTTGCCCAGGGTGCATCAAGGGGAGGTAAGTCTATTGCACACTCCAAACCAATAAACCTAAAGGCGTTCGAACATATAAAAATCTTGTCATTGTGCTACATATCCAGCCTTAATAGAAGTGACGGCATTGTCTTGTACAATGGATGCAATAAGAATATTTAAAGTTGTCAAAAAGAGAGAATGTTTTGGCGTAATGTCAAATTGGTTATTTTTATCATAGTGAATAGCGTTTGTACTTGCTTGAAGGCAAATACATTCTGCTCAGTGCATTTTAAGAAATTGTTGAATTTGTAAATAGTTAAAGAATGCCGGATACCGAATAAACAACGCCGATTAGATCTGTATGAAAAATTCCAATTCTGTTATTTTTGATTCCACGATTCATTGAAATAAAGCACAATCCAACATTAATATACACATCAAAAATATATAAAAATATACAAAGACATCCAAAGACACATCAAATTCCCGATTCTTGCAAGAATTTAGCTTCACATATAATGGATTCATGAATTGTTTAGTGGAATAATGAAGAACGTATTCTTCCTGCCAGAGCTTTCTTTAGCTATCACCACAAGAAACAATTTGTCAATCGTAAGTTTGATTGTCTTTATAAAAAAATCAGATGCCTTGATTTCACGCAATTCGATAAGCGCTTTACCGCATGTTGCCATTTGAATCATCATCTAGCTTCAAAGATAATCTAGCTCAACCAATATTCTCCCACAAAGTAATATATAATTCAATTTCGATTTATTTGAAAACCTGTTTGATTTAAGGCCATGAGTGATGGGGCATCTTAACCAATCTACAATCAAGAGGAAGAGCATGATCAACGCAAACGAAATTATAGTAAATGCCAAAATACGTTGAGAGTTGCATAAAGCCAAAAAGACAACTTTTTCATTATCAAACGTCGGTTTTACATGGAACTAGATTGTACAGAGCTTTCATTAAGGTATAGTAGTATACATAAAAGCTGCAGCTGTCGAATCTGTGTATGACTTAATCTTAAAATGTGAAATAACTAAGGCCCTTAAATTTGTGTAATCCAGGAAATTTCTCTGCTCTTCCTAGTTCAGTAAATGTCGCCATGTATATGCGCCATATTGAAACCAACTGACATATCAATCTGTCATAGATTGTATTTCAAGACTTTTATAAGTTTGGCAAAGTGCTTAACTTGGCCATTCCATTGAAAAACAAATAATGGCCGAGTTGTTAATTTAATAGAGTAACAATCAAGAATGTTCGAGGGGCTTGGCTAGTGCACCAATAAAAGATATAATACGAAATGGCAATCTCCAGGTCTTGATTTCGTTCACTTGGAGAAGTGGCCCATCGCGCACTGCCATTGCGTCTTCATTTATTCTTGGAGTAAAACTGGTCTGAATAGTTTAAATTGACAATGTCCAAAGTTATCCCATACGACCAAGTAATTCTGTTTTTCATCAAGGACTAGCAATAGACACTAATACGATGAATTTTAGGGACAAAAAATTCTCTCGCAATAAAAGCGGCCATTTCTTTTTTCTCAAAATGAGTCAATATCAATGTTTTGATCATTAATTCTTAAACTACAAAGCTTGAATTGTAGTAGACATGACTCTGAGGAACGAACCAACTAATCCATGAACTTCTAATTAGTTTCTGTGTAAACGCATTTCAGAATAGTGTAGACTAAGTGGAACATGGTTTTCTTGCCTCTTCGTTTTTATTAAAAAAATATGAGAAAAGAGATTTAAGAAGAGCAACTGCACCTGATGTACGTATGCAAACATTTTTATATTGTTACATATTCAAACAAAGGAACGATAGAAAGGGTAATCATGAAAAGCAACTGCACACATCACGTCCTTTTGGCAATTGAGACATTTCGAAATAAATGCTTGGGAACTTAAGTGCTTACAGTGAATTGGCGTTCATTTTATTCCCCCGTTGGGCATCAAGGCCAGCAATAATTTGACATGCATTTCCATTTTAACTCTAATCACTGTTTGATGCTTTATTTTCGTTTTATTTTAAGTCCATTGCGTCATATTTCCATGAGATTTATCGCTTGTTTTAGTCCAATCAGCCTCCATCTAAATAGAAACTGACATTAAGAAAATGGTATATATTTGGTTAGTGAACTTTGAGCTGCAAAGTTAACTTTTAAGTTTCTCGTTATTGCATAATGAAGGCGATGTACTGCTGGCTTTCCATCGTCATTTATCTACTTACAATCGTTATTAATCGTTCAGAACAAATGAGTTTATATTTGACCTCACCCCCTCGGGGACCAATTTGCGATGTTTCTGAAGACCCTCACGGAGGTTATGGCTGGCAGCCCATTGGAGGTGGTGAGAATAATACAATTTATGTGGGGGATTTGTTTGATGAAAACAAAGGTGATGGCGACGGTGATGAGGACGGCGACGATGATGATGAGGATGAAGATGAGGAGGATGATGAAAATGAGGAAGATGATGATGATGATGATGACGATGATGATGAAGATGAGGAAGATGATGAAGACGATGATGATGACGACGACGACGATGATGATGCTGATGAGGACGAAGACGAAGATGATGAAGATGATGATGATGATGACGATGATGATGAAGGTGAGGAAGATGATGAAGACGATGATGATGACGACGATGATGATGAGGACGAAGACGAAGATGATGAAGATGACGATGATGATGACGACGATGACGATGAAGAGGAGGAGGATGATGGTGAGATGTCAAATGACATTTAATCCAACGACTTCTAAAAACATGGTTCCACATTGATTATCAAGAGTATTTTTTTATTAAATTGTCTCAAATTACTTAAGTTGTTCTAAAAAACCATTTCCCTGCGGTTTGAATACTGAAAACTTTATCCTTTTGGATTTGAATGAAACTTTAGTACACCATTTATTGCGTATTACTGTTTTTACCATATTGAATTTGGTCTCTTAGGAGATATAATATGTGAAACTCGGTTTTTTGGAATAGATTTTTAATTTCTTATTAAATAGCAGCTGATAGATTATAAAGCGATTTGATGAAAATAGATGAAAACATTTTCGAATTGTAATTCAATATTTGAAGACATCCAACCATATATTTTGTGATTTACATTAAGTTTTTCTTAGATGAAGAAGGTCTTTAGTTGTCGTTGGATGTCTCACAGAAGGGGAAGGGGACATGAAAATAACAAGAATTTTGGGGGTGGGGGGATGGAACAGAAGAGCAAAGCACAGTTTCAAAAGCGACAGACACAGAGGTAGAGGAAAATTTAAGGATTGTACTACGGAAATCGTCCAAAATGACATGCAGTGAGGTCGAGAAATTTTGAAGTCAGAAATCACATGCCTGTTTATAGATTTTTTTAATATGTGAGAATGCGTTGCCCAGGTGCACCACGTAGAGATAGGTCTATTTTGTTCCCCGCTTAAGAAATTTTGTAAAATAAAATTTTCCTCGCTTCAATGTAGTGCACTAGTCACCATTCGCCTCTGTCAGGAATACGATTTCCATCGTGGTCTGTCTGGTAGAGAAAACTGAGGAATGCCATGGTTCTAAAGAGTTTATAATGAATGTGACAAAATTTAAAGTTCTCACCAAGGTAACATTTTGCTACCCAAAATGAATTTTGAAAATGAATTTTGGTTGTGTTAACATTTATTTCATTTGAGTTTTAGAATTTAATTTTACATTATTTTTGTTATAATGGGCGGAAAATTAAGACGTCGGTTATTCTCTCACTTAACTCAATGTAAGTTATTTATGGTGGTGTTTGAAATGAATTAACGAATGCTTAGTTTAATTTTATTAATAAGGTGATAAGTAAAAATAAACAATGAATTTTTTATTTGTAATAATACATTTTAAAAATCGTATTAGCTTATTTCCTATTAACTCAAATTTTACTAATCAGTTATTTTGCTCAAAGAGAAATAAAGTATTGAAGATTTTGCCAAAAGAGATGATGATGAAAGAGACGGTGAATAATTGTGCTTCTCGCATTTATTTTGACATCATCTTTCAATTATATTGACCCCTTTTTCTGCCAATCGTAGCCGAAATTTCCCATCATATATTCCTTTTTATTCTCATTTTTTTAATTTGAACCGTGTGATTTATAATTTCTATTGGCAGAAAAATTAATATTAAGCTTCTCCTTTCCTTCACTACCGTTTAATACAGACTCTCTTAATAATGTTTACTTATGTTCCTTAATATAATGGGCAAAAAAAGAAAAGGTGAAACAGAAGAAGTTAAACGTAAACCATCAGCAATATTTTTATTGTAATCAACTCTGAACATATTTTTTCACCAATTGAGAAATTTCTCGATATTCTACCAATAAAATTAGAGTAAACTTATGCGGGGAAAATAAAGGAAAAATCATTCCGATTTGGTCCCTTTCTATTGCAGAAAAACGGTTGTCAAAAGCTTGCTGTAGTAGCTTGGCTTACAGCACAGTAGCAATTCCTCAACCCAATCAAAGCGAATTCTTGTTATCATTTAAACAAAATCAATCTTCAAATCTGCCCTTATGTCAATTTAGCGATTACAAGCCTCTGTGTTCTATTAAAATTAATAGCAAAACGATGTTTCATCAAACGTAACTCTGATAGAGGCTTGATACAGTTTAATTTCAAATTCTCTGTATTTAAATTACATTAATATAAAGACATGCTAAGCCTACTTATTGTTTAAATATAGTATAATTTGGCAATTACCATGATGCAGTAAATCTCTTTAATCAAAAATATTAATGCTAATTCAATTACAAATGGGAAGTTTGAAGTTACTATTATTGCATTTACATGTTTTGTAAACACTGTGAAAACCGCCACAAATCTAAATTGACTTTAGGCATTTTAACCGTTATTTCATCACCTCTCGCTCACTTACAAGACTAAAACAGCTCTTAGGAATACTGCAATAACATCCGAATTCCTCTTGTCTTTAAATGAGATTGTAACTATGACGTTATTAAATATTTGAAATTGAAATTTTTTAAATGGACATTTGCTGATAAGACAAGTGGGAAAATGTGCTTGTAAAAATTAGGAAAAAGGAAGTGAATTAACCTTAATTTTAAAAAAAATATTATTTTCCCTTTGACAGTAGTCTTTGAACATGTCATTAGTAATAGTATCAAAATGGTCCAAAAATTAATATTGGTTGGCTCAGTATGCAAAAAAATTTAAAGTATCTCTAACCGAGCGTGAAGGGGTACTTCCACGCGTCGTGGTCTTACAAACGGTATCGGGCTGTGATTGCTTGAAATAATGCTGCTTGAAAGTTTTGATTCCAGAGTTATTCAAACGACGCAGATATTTTTGTAGGTGGCTTGCGGAAAGTCTTGTTATAGTACAGGGTTATAAAGGTATTATAGTAAATGGACTTCTTGAGACGTAGCGTCTGAATCCATCATCTACTTCGAATGACTCTAGTGAAACAATTCGGTATTAAGTAAGATTTGTCTGCTCAGGATTGTGGATGATAAAGCAAAAAGCTAGTTTTGTATCAGCGAAAAGTTCAAGGTAGGAACAGTAAAATCTAATTAAGTAAAAGCAAAAATAAAATCTTCATGATGGCACCTATCCAACTGAATTTGCTCTGCATGTGATTGTAAAAGATTTTAAATAGTCTCTTTTTGAACAGTATATGAATATAAAAGTAAAAAATATTATCATATGAGAGTTTTATGGGGTTAAATCAAAAGTTCCAAATTAATGATGAAATAAACTGTTTATTTATCACAAATGGCAGGCGTTTTGATAGTTATCGTTAGCTCTCTAGTTGACATCAGGCTTCACAGATGAGAGGAGGATCATCAAAGGGAAAAGAATTCGGAAGGCGGGGGGGTCATGGTAGTTTGAGGCCCGAAGTCAACTGCCAGTTAATAGACTTTTTTGCCGTATGAGTAAACGTTGCCCAGGGTGCACCACGTGGAGGTAAGTCTATCGCACACCCTATTGTTAGAGAAATTAAAGACCCTGGTTTTCAAATGCCAAAATGAAAAGATTATGCAAACTAGAATCAAATGTAAAGAAGGTGACATTTCGGGTATTCAGACCCACCTAACACCATTATTCATGCCTCCATTGGTTGTTCAACTCATTTGGAGGTATTCACATCAACTTTAAAATTGGATGGCACATTATTCAAGACTGATTTCACCAATAAAAGTATTTTTGCTTTGTAGACTAAAAGATTGTCATTAATGAAATAATATCAAAATCGAAAATTGTGCATTTGAACAGAAGTGTATAATTTTTGAAATAACTTATGAATGAAAGAAAGAGAGTGGTTCTAAATAATAAGATTAGACGCATTTAACTCATTTTAATGCATTTCAATCAGAACTTTGTGCCCTTTAATTCTTGATTTAATTATAAATGGAATTTTTTGAAAGACAAATAATCAAATAATTATTTTCCAACTAAAGTCCATCTGTTTTTTTTAATGAGGAAAATTAATAAATTTTGTTAATTGTTAAAATTAGAATTGAACAGCTTTCAAACGCAAATATTTATTTTCACTATTTTCGTTTTGTTGAAACTTGAAAACTTTATTCAAAGAGTAATTTTTATTCATCGAAACTCTATTCAATCAAAATAATTTTACCCACGAAAGAAATCTGAATAAATAGCACGCCTCATTAGTGCCACTTGAAGAATTATCATGACGTTGTTTAATTTTTTCCATTTATCATATAACTTTTTTAAGTGGCAAAAAATGGTATTAATACAATTAATAACTAATTGTTAATGTTTGAATAAGAAATATTCATTATGAATGGTGATGTCTTACCTTGATTAAATATTTTATATCAGAAAATAGACTTAACTCACCTTAATTGCAAAAGAGAGAGCACACATCATCTTGTAGTATTTAAAGGACCATTGTTCGGATTTCAAAAAAAATATATAAATATTGATCATCTATGATAGCGTTAAAATGAAATAATTCGATACGGAAGTCTCACAATTTGCTACTGATAAAAGTCCATTTTACCTTTAACCATTACATGGTTAGAGATATAGTACAAAGAAAAGAACAAATGCAAAATGAAATAATTTCATTTCGCTTAATGTTGAAACTTATTCCTTTTGAAGGTCAAAAGTATCGATGACTTTCAGTTTTTTTGAGATACGGTAAATAGGATTACTTGCTTTTTAATGATCGAATATACACTGTATTACTAATAACAATGTTATAACTTATAATAGAGCCATACATCAAATTTAAGTATCATTTATGGATTTCAATGCTATAATTTGTAAAATTAATAAATATTTATTGACAATGTCTTAATGTGAAGAATACTGGCACTCATTATAATTTCAAAGACGGAACTAATTTATAGCAAAAGACATAAAATTTTATTATAGTAAACATTGAATTTGTACTTTAGAACAATTTCCAAAACAATTGAAGAAAAAATCAAATAAAATTCAAAAATATTAAGACCAATTACTTTTGAGAAAAGGCAAAATAATGTTTATGTTTTTAGCGGAAAGTCATAGTTTATTTATTGTAAACTGTATTACAACAAAATATTAAGATGGGTCATTTGGTAGCAAAATTGACTAATTCTAAATTAAACTTTCATTATTGCTATTATCAATACACATTTGACAAGGTAAGTTTAAATGAATAATCTTAAACACCATTATCACCTTCAATTCAATCATCAAAATCATAATCACTATGAATACCTTCATGTTTTTCTTAATAACCTAAACGAATATAC